CAATGTGTAGCAAAATATAATGAAACAGAACATACAGTCACAAAATTTACTCCAAAATACCTCTTAGAAGGCGAGAATGTGGATATTTTGCCACTTGAATTAAAATCAAAACCTACAAATGAACATTTGAAAAGAGATAGAGAAGTAGCTCTTCAAAATTCAATAAAATCTCACTACTACAATAAGAAAATATATGATTTAGGTAGGGAAGATTATAAATTTGAAGTGGGAGACGAAATATATGTCGAAAATGGAAATCGATTAAATAGAAAGAAAATGGATGAATTAAGGATTGGACCATACAAAATCTTAAAAAGGGTTTCTAACTCAATCTATGAAGTTGATGCCGGACATAGAAAGGCAGAATCAAATCTCTACCATATTACCGAGCTATCTCCAGCAGTGATCCGCGCCTAATCGAACAATCATTGCTTGTTCTCTCGGAGGGTGGGAGATGTAAAGAAAATCACTATATTATATTTTCTTAATTATTAAATACTCTGTGCTTAATTCTTAAAATAATATTTCACACAGTATTTCGACAGTCCTATGGAAGATACTTACTAAATATACAGTGTGTTAGGTTAAACGAGGGACTTATTGAGGGAGGGTATTCAGTATTCGATTCTCGTTCCGAATATGTAAAAAACCTATAACCAAAATTTTTGAGGTAATTGTCTAATAAAATACATCATCATCAACACTGAGCGCGCAACAAGTGAACTTGTAAACAGAAACAGTACTTACATAAAGTAAATCGCGTTGCAAATCATGCGCCGATCTTGCCAAAAAGAATAGAGCGCGCTTAAGCCCGCTAAGCCGAAACCCGTAAGCGTAAGCGGAAGCGTTTTTATGGTTCTGTCTGTTATTTATTAGTGTTTTCGTTTCGTTTATATGTTTGTTAGGTTCATGTGAGTATACACTATTATGGGTTTGAATGTGTCCCTCGTTTAACCTAACATACTGTATAATATAAATAGATAGTTACTAAATATATATTGAAGAATACATACTATATAACAATATACATACATACATATATACATACATACATACATATATACATAAAATACATAAGGTATAGTCAGTGTGATGAAGCAGCCAACCTCGTCAGGAGAAGCCCACGAACATTCTGCTTGAAAGTTAAACGACTTTTTACCATCCTGATATCCTGGGGGAGCGCATTCTACAAAAAAATAGCTTGTACGAAAAATAAAGAATGAAGGACGTCAGTACGGACATTGGAGAAGTCGATTATGAGAAGAGCGAAGATTTTTATTGTGGTTTGCGCATATGTATTGAAAGTAAGGGGATAGATAATTCGGGGAAGAAGGCGAGTCTAAAAAGAATAGAGTGGTTAGCGCCCTTTGCTCCCTGCGTTGGCGTATGGGCATCCACTTTAATTGCAACCGATGTGCAGACACATGATCATATTTACGCAGATTGAACATGAATCGAATGCAGTTATTTAACTCGTCGAGTACCGGTTTTGTAGACACAATTATAGAACAATAGGTTGCGGTCACCGGTGACCGCTTGGTGTTTGACAGTTTAAAAGTCGGTCAAGTTTATTGAGAAGATCTGCATTCAGGTCGAAGTAACACACGTCAGCATAGTCAATAATAGGAAAAACCAAGGCCTGCACCAGCACAGCCTTTGTATCGGAAGGAAGCAAATTCTTTAATTTATATAGTGCCCCCAGGGATCCGGTGACCCTCTTACATACACTAACGACCAGTGCATGCCACCTCAAGTTAGTATCTATGCACAGCCCCAGTTCCTTAACGTCATTACTGAGAGGGATAACGGCATTGTTAAAGATGACTGTTGGTAAATTAACCCACTCAGCGTACATGTGCTACCTATAATTATTGCTTGGCACCCACGATACAGAAGAAAATCCTAGTGTGGGGCAACGTAAAGAGAAAAGATTTAGTTTCTTAGGGCCGATTTATCAATCATTAGTTCAATCTTAACTGTAGAATAAAATTGACATGTGACAGGTTTGGGTATGAATAAATTGGCCCTTAATACTTCATTATGGCGAGCATTTATATAACCATGCTGAACTCTAAAAATTAAATTGCAATTTTGTATGTGAATCAAGTCGCAGGAAAGCTTATGTTTTCATTTGATAGGTTGCTAGATATTTCCATAATGTTAATACGACATTTTCAATAACAAATGAAAGTGATTAAATAGTATAATCCGATGTAAATAAAATACCAATTTAAAAGGCAACTGTTAGTATGTAAGCATTTATTGCACTTTAAATATACATGGATTGACCGACATAAGACTCGAACATAGACTTTTACATTAGAAGAAACTTCTAGTACGAAAACATGGCGTCGTGGCTTAGAGCCGCGGAGGATTACACGACACGTCCGTACGCGTTGGTGGTCGGGGAGGTCTCTCTCCGCTCTCGCCGCTCGTAGCTCGCACCCCCTGCGCTGGCGCGCGAGGTAGCGGATGGTGGGAAGGGATTGTCGCGATCGCGCGCCTATTGGCGTCCTGTGTAGCGTTGCAACCACAGATAATAAAAACATAGACCATAGGTTGTGTTTATTTTTAAACCTGTGTTACACCAATCAGAAAGTTGTAATTTATTATTAACATTTTTAAATACAATGTATTTGGTTAAATCAACAAAGTAATTGGCTTAATTAATTCAGATTTATTTTATACCACTATTTAGCAGTTATTTTATATATTACTATATATATATATATATATATAGTAACAACTATAACACGTTTTGGTATCGCGTCTTTTTTTCAATATCATCATTATTCATAGGTTGCTAAAAGTTTTTGTTGTAATAAGGTAAATATTATAATCTTAACGACACCAGAAGTATCAATTAATGTAAGGGACAAAACACGTATTTTCAGGAGAGCCAAAAAACGATTTTATTTTTTTAAATCTCTCTATAACTTTTAACTGGTGCTTCCTATTTTAATTGTGTCTAGGACAAAGTTTCTTAGAATTTCTTCTTCTTTCATGCTATGAAGTTATTATTTTGGAATACTCAGCGGTTTAAAATATAGCATGTCCCTTACATTAAAAAAATATGTTTAGTTGTGCCTTACGTTACCAATATTTTATGTGTAAACCGTCAAGCATAGCGTAAGCAGCAAAAGAAATAGAAAATTATACGAAATTCTACTGTAAAGAACTTTTATAGTATTGCAGTTTGATGTAACTATAGATTATCTACTAAAATTATGGTATTTTGATACTTTGGAAATAGGTTCTTTGCATGATTAATGAGCTTAGCTATCACAAATTTAAATGAAATTTAGGGATACAAAAATAAAACGATTTCTTGTTAAAATATTTTTATTATTTTCGACTTTTATGTCTGCGTAATTATTATAAATTCAACACACTAATCAGTCTATAACAGTTTTTGTTAAGTTTAAATAAATGTCCTAAAATTAACAGTCTTCAAATTAACAGTCTTACACACCTTTAATCAATTTAAAAAAATATAATCATGTATTTGACTCCATGATCTCTTATGATTGAACAAAGCTAAGGCCTTAATTAACAGTTGTACAAACTATGTACTTTTAATATTTACGTTTCATTGGTTTTATAATAAAAAAAGAAAAAATATTTTCTCAAACTTAATCAACAGTCTTATTTATTGAGTAATTGAATGAATGTACTGGAAACGAAAGACGTTGAAAAAATATGAATTGACTGAAGAAAAAAATGAATAAAATAATATAAAACATGAACACTAATATATATATACACAAGAATAAATATATAATAATTAGGAATGGGCAGACAGATTATGATGATAACTATTAGTAAATTAAACTTTTTTAATGGTGAAATCGGAAGAGTTGAAATAATTTTTTCTATTTGGTATAATTATTATCTAGTTATCGTCATCAGCTGTCTTCACATCTTCATCGTCGTCAGTTTCAATGAGGGTATCTTTAACTGACGATTTAGTCGGCAGGTTCAAATATTCAACATGAAATCTTTTTGGTATTATGCCCGTGTCGCACAATTTTTTGAGATCATTGTATTTTGGAATGGAAATTGGGAGCCTCTCTTTATATAGAGATGGCAAATTGTCTGTGTTCCTTTGACTTATGTCATTGCTAGTACTTTCAGCTGCAGATTCATTTTTGTTGTCTATATTTTTTTTAATTTTACCTCTAGCAGCACTTCTTTTCCCAATCCCTTTACCCTTTCCTCTTGCATTAAAATTCTTTGGAATTAATTCTTTGGAGAGCTCTATGTCGTAAGTATAACCAGTCTCTAACATTGTATATTTAACTTCAATTTTCGTCAAAGCATTTCGTCATTTGTCATTCGTCAAAGAATAATTTAGAAAAAACAATAATCTTGAATTAAAGTAAGGGACATGTTATTTAAATCGACTGATTTGAGGTTTAAGGTAAGGGTGTAAATTATTTAATACTATGACTTACTTTATTTTTCAGAGAAAAAAATATATAATTGTCTGTTACATCAATTTTTCTGTCATAAATCGTTTTACGCAGGCCAAAAATTTTTACTGTAAGGGCTCTTTTTTTAACGATAGATTTTTTTTAATAATACCAATCGATAGAGCGCAAAATTCTGGATCCAATGATATATATAACTTATTTTCGTCAAAATGTCCCTTACGTTAATTGATACTTCTGGTATCGTTAAGTTAAATAATATAAGTAGCGCCATCTCTAGTGTCAAGTTGGCGAGTTTCTCATAGACGTCGATATATCATCTGTATTCCTTCCTTTTGTCGTCTGCATGGCGCCCATCATGTGCTTTCTGTGTGCTTTATAATAAAACTACGAAATGTAACAAGCTATTATCTATTATTCAACCACATCCACCACTTCAACAGTTTTGTCATCTGAAATTGTATCATTTAATTATGTGCATAAAATTAGTTATCTTGAGATAAAATATAATATAAGAGATAAGATAAAATATAATTATTATGATATAAGTCTTTGCTGTGTCTTTAAAAAAGTAAAATTTAAAACTGTTTTATTGCTAGTTAGTGCGTTTGTATCTCATCAATGAAGTGGTTACAAAACATACATAGATAATACTTGTAACAACATCCGAAGAACATGGTCTAATTCTAAAAATGGATTTCTAAGACTGTTTTTTACTATTTGCAATATAGATTTGGACTTATGATTGACATTGTCTTCTTTCACTTTGCTAAGAATGCTAGTGACTACATTATCTATTGTTTAATTCTCCTGTCTTTCAATCTCAGCCAAAACGCTGTTGATGATGTCAGCACAGTCCTTGTTCTCAATGATAGAGACGTGGTTACCCCCCAAGAAGTGTACGGTGACATTGTTCTCTGTGTACTTGTCAAGTCCATAGTTCTCTTCTAAAGCCACGAAGGACGGGTTCTCTTTGGGACGAAGAAGGACAATTGGAGACTGTAGCTTCTTGAAAGCTTTCGGGTCATAGTCGAGGATGGTCTTTAGCCTATCGAAGGAAACTTGGGCAAGCTTTGTCAAGAATTTATCGGAGTATTTGTCTTGTAATGGAGACATCCTGACTGTTAATGCAATTTTTTCTTCAAAAGATTCAATGTTGTTAAGTTTCTCCATAAGTTCTCTGGTGGCGTCAACATTGGGGGCGACAAGCCTCATTGTGTGACATAACAAACTGTTTTGCAGTTGAAAGTCGCTTGTAACACTTATAGTCTTCGTGACGAGAGCGTAGACGAATTCTGGAGCACCGTCTAAACAGAATATTGTTCCCTTGTAACCTGAGAATGAGAAGTAGATTAGTTTACATGATTTAAGTTTTCGTAAAGCCTTGAAGGTCTTCTTTTCATTATAATGTATTAGCTATGTTGATTTTACCTTCCTTCTCCAGTCTGGAAGCCAATTCCAAGGCGAGTAGAGTACCGTAACTGTATCCGAGGAGCCAGAATGGACAACCAGGTTTTAACATTGGAATCACTATCTGAAAGAAACACAAAATTTAGAACATTATAGCCGTAGAACGATTTTGAAAAGTTATATTATTTATTTCATGAATGGTATTAAAAGGCCCGAATGGCCAAAAATGTACTATGCTGATTGGCTTACAAAATTTTTTTTTTTTGAAAACCTTGCCCCACACTAGGATTTTCTCCTGTGTCGTGGGTGCGTTTACAAACATACAAGTTCACATACACAATGACACCCAGACCCGAAACAACAATTTGTGGATCACACAAAGTGTTGTCCCGTGCGGGAATCGAACCCGCGACACGTTGCACGGCAGCCGGTTGCCCAGCCACCGCACCAACCGTGCAGTCAAATTTCAACCGTGCAGTCTTTTGTAATGATGTTAATGAATTATAATGTAATGGAATATAATTTAACGATGAATTACTAAAAACAATAAATACAAATCGTTGAAGTCACCTGGTACAACCTGTTGACCATCTGGTGCATGTTCTCGTTCTTGTGCTCCACTCCAAGCTGCAGCACGCAGACCTTAACCTTCAATCTCTTGCAGAGTGGCTCCAGTTGTGCTGCATTACTGTCTAGCCCAGGTAACATGAATATCATATGCTCCGGTACCTGTATAGATTCCACACCCTGACTTTGAGAACTTATAAAACAGATACTTTATCAATATTTTGAAACAAAAAGGTTTTTCAAAACTTTGTCAATGGTTCTTACTTACCTCGACTCCATGGCTTACCATGGAAGGCATGTAGACAATTGGCTTTGAGACAGTTTTTTCATCACCAAAATTTCTTATCAGTACGCGAAGTCCGACAGCCCCTTCATCATTAGTGAGACGTGAGTTTGAGGCTGAAGATATAGGTTTGCGCAGTGCTGTTAGCTCTAGTAGCCTGAAGTGAAAAATATAAACGAATAGCTAACTGACCTTCATTTGAGGGTCATCCACGGGTCACAAACTATTATTAAGAGAGCAAATTATAGAATCAATCAATTAACAGAAATACAATTCAAATTATTTAAAGTCAAAGTATTCTAACCTGGCGAATGTCAACGTTCTAACATCTTGAGCCGTGAGAAAAATCTTGAACTCTCTCTCCAATATTTGATTGATCTCCAAAGCCATCATACTGTCCATACCCAAATCAGCCAGGGAGACTTGCTGCGACACTGTCTTTAAGTTCTTTATACCTGGAAAAAGACATAGCCTCAGTAGCTGCTTTTATACCCGATAGATTTATTTAGAGGTAAATAAAAATGTCTCAGCTTTTAGTAAAGGATAATGAATAACTTAAAAAAAAAAGCTTCACCCATAATCTGAGCGACTGCATCTAATGCATTGCCACATCCTTCGCAACCAGTCTTCTTCTCAGCCACCACAATAGAAGACACGATAGGAGCACCCTGCTTCATGAACTTGTCGAGAGCAGTCAGACAGGAAGATATCCTCTGATGCAGAGTTCCTCCGATCTCAAGTTGGACGTCATCATTCTGCATGTCAGCTATCAGACCAACCTGTAGAAAATATGACGTTTCTCTCATTCGTTATTACAGCTTTGTATCTTTTACTACGATGTCTTGACGACTGCCTCGTTGGCCGAGTGGTTGCAAGTGCGAATACCGCGCAAAGGGTGTTGGATTCGATTCCCGCGTCGGGCAAGTGCTACTTGGTTTTTAAAAATTCTCAGTGGTAGCACGCATTCTGAAAATGTGGGTCACCCCTATTACATGGGATTCATAACATAAAGGGTATTACATTGTACAGAGGCATTGAGTGCCGTAATATGCACGTCTGCCTATCCCTTCGGGGATAAAAGGGGTGATGTTATGTTATGTTTGTATTAGTTGCCTACACTTACATCACCAATAGCGCCCCATTGCACAGCAAGGGCTGGGAGGCCGAGCTTCTTCCTCCATTCACAGATCCTCTCCATCACGGAGTTGGAGTAGCCGTAGTTGGTTTGACCAGCATTACCACGTCCACAGGATACAGACGAGAAGACCACAAAATCCCTACGGAGAAATTTTGGTTTTTATACGTATTGTCACAAAAGGACTATAAGTCAGAATTTTAATTAGATTCCAGATTTGACAATAGCTACTGTCATTTTACGTTACAGACGATCCTATACTGATAGGTGAGAATTCAGAAACCCTCCAGATCATGATTGAACAACTTATACGGGAAAGCGAAAAGGTAGGACTAACAATAAACACCAGTAAAACAAAATTAATGACAAATTGTGTAAAAACCCCCATCAAACCTAAAAATGCAGCTGAATTAGAATACGTAAACGAATATACATACTTAGGCCAAATAATATCTCCAAAAGACATAACAACAAAGGAAGTGCAAAATAGGATAAACTTGGGATGGAAGAGATATTGGACACTGAAAGACATAATGAAAAACAATGATATACCTATCGAGGGAAAGAAGAAAATATTTAATACATGTATTCTACCAAGTATGACCTACGGATGTCAGACATGGAGCTGTACAAAGAAAAACATCAAATCACTAGAAATTTGCCAACACAAAATGGAGAGAAGCATATTAAACTTAAAAACAAAAGATAGAATAAGACTAAAAACAATCAGAAAACAGACCAAGATTATTGATATCACACACCAAATAAAGCAACTGAAATGGAAATGGGCAGGACACCTTACTAGAAGTAGAATAGAAAAATGGACGAAAGAAGTGACAGAATGGTGTCCCAGATACAGAAATAGAGGGAGAGGCAGACAGTGTCGAAGATGGGAAGATGATATCAAGGCGGTTGCGGGGCCATGTTGGATGAGGACAGCAAGAGATAGAGAAATATGGAGAGGACTTGGGGAGGCCTATGCCAAAGGGCAAGACAATCACGTAACCGGTGTCTAACACAAACACATTAAAATTCATTATAAGTTGCATTCGAAAACGTTTATTAGTAATACATAGTTGTAAAATTAAGATAAATGTAACTCTGAGATTGTTAATAAAGGCTTTTATTATTATTATTATTATTATTA